GAGTGCACTGTGCTGGTTGTACAAAAATATGTAAACGATGATAATAATGCTCATGCACTGAAGTTAGTTACCAGCATTAAGTGAGTGTTTGGCCGCAACGCATCCGCACGTAATGGCTCTGGAAGAACTCGTTGAACTGTCTCTATTCAAGAACAGCCCTCTACTTCTTAACACCTTTCGAGATATCCGGAGTCATTTCAAATAAACTACTCAAAGGCGGAGCTAACGATGAAAGAGAATCCCATTACGAAACAAAGTAGTGGTGGTCACTGATGCAGGGATCGAGAAATAGAAACAGAAAAAAAACAAGAAAAACGGCCTAAGATCAGGAAATGGGACCCGTCCCCTCGTTCGCTGATTTGCGCGTTAGGCGATTCTCACCGGTGCTGACCTCATCGCTAACGCTCTCTCTTCTAGAGCCGTTGTGGTAAGCGGGTTAGGAGTCAGCCAAATGTTGATAAAGCAGCGGCACGAACGGAGCGGGCACACCCCTTTTAGGCCGCTAGGGGCAACACTTCGCCATGGAAGGCGCATGTCGCACCCTTAGTTAGCCTACTTTTCCCGGTACTTTTCCCCTGCCGACCTCCGACCTTATAGAGCAATTCATTCTTGCTCAGCTATTAAGAAGGCATCGTTTTCAGGCTTTGGGTCCGTTGCTGCCAGAAAGAACTCGAAATAAAGTGCAACTTTGGACGGCCAACAGTGACTGGAAGAATCAAATTCAAAAGGTACTAAACTGCTTCTTGAAACAATCCGCCGCCAAATTCTCACACTTCATGTTTCCAGGTCGCTAAGCCGGAGAACATCCCGGCTCATTGGGGAGGCAAGCTGTACGACGCGAATGGTGACGGAATGTGCCGGTAAGTGCTCGCAATCTTAGAAGGTCGTTTCCACGGCAAGCCGAAACAATTTCAAGTTTTTGTTCAAACTTCTTCGTTACCTTAATTTGGCATTCATAAGGTCGTTTAAATCAATAACATTACTTTTACATACTATCAGTGCACGCACTTCCCTCCTATAACCACGCACTCCCTCTATAACCACTCAACATTGGTTTACAAGTGATGGTCGAAACTCTGCCTGGAGAGATGATAAACGCAGCGTGCTGTGTTGCACAGAAGGCTGAAAGTGAACGGTGGAAGGTGGAGGTTCTATAAACTTCAGATTCACTTTCCTAATGGTAACTGGAGGGCTTCATGAAGTTAAGAGAGGCTAACGATCAGTCCTAATATGACTGAAAAATGAAAAGGGAAGGAAAACAGGAGCAGTCGGCGTTGATTAGTGCCTTTTCAAGATGCACTTCTATACAGAACCGTGGTGGCATTCAAAGCTATGTAGTCTATACTGATAGCAATTTGGGTCAGGTGAATATATCGGTACTACTGATACCCAGACAAGTCTAGCGCTACATTCAAGAGCTTGAAATTATTATAGTGGAGGTAGGACAAAGTGGAATTATAACAACTATCTCAGCTAGGAGTGCACCCCTAGCGACCCATCATTGCCAAACCGGCGGCGCTCTCCGCTCTTTAGCCCGCCCCGAATGTATTGCGCCCTAGCCGTCGCAGATCCGAGCCGCATGCTCTACCTGCTCTAGAAGATAGGCAGAGACCGCGTTAACGGGGGATAAACGTCAGCACCGTGCGATCACCTCATGCAGAACACAACGGGATAGAATGGGACCCTTCACGCGGGTTTTAGTCTGTTTTCTTGTTTTTTTTTTTCATCTCTGCATCGTTGACCACCTTGCTTGATTTCCAGTGAGCGATCAATCGTGAACTCCCCCTTTTTAATCTGTCCCGGAGAGATGCGCCACTTGAAAGGCCTGGGCGAGACCAATCTGTAATTTGGCTTCCGGTTATCCGGATATACACTGCGACGCATAATTATAGTTCCACCTACAATTTCAGTACCCGGCTGGATATCATTTTCTCACGATACGGCGCTTATCTCAGTCGGATAGTAATCAGGGTTCCTCCCAGTCATATCCTGTAGCATCCTTGAGAAATTTGTTCGTTATGAAGTCACCCCGACAAATTCCAGCGGAGCTGACACTTTGACAATTCCTGCGTCTCTTTTGCTAAGAATCCGACAGCGGTTTTGCCTTTGCTATAAGCTAAGGAACTTGAATGGATAATAATTCCAAATTTTGATTGGGTAAAAGCAAAATGCAGCGGAGAAGCTAAAGCGGATATTTTCGAAAAAATAAGGATAAAAAATTGTTGCTTTCTCAAACTGGATTTCCGTGTTAATATTCAGATTCGCGTTAGTGTTCGTAACGCGAACTGGCTGCTTTCCTCTTGGTTTGGTCGCAGCTGCGCGCGATTGTTGGGAGGAGAACTCGACTCAACCGCTCAGCTTTATTACAAACACTCAAATGACACATATAGGGAGCACGGGCCTTTATACTGATCTCGAGGGGCGGAAGAGAGACTGGCTGGAACACTGCTGTGATTGGTTGCTCCTCCATCCATGCGGTGACGTCATCACTGGCGGGCGGCTCCGGGCTATCGATCGACTAAGGGGCTGTTGGTTGGCTATAACAACAACAACATAAGATAATCAACAACAAAAAACAGACATAGAACACAATTCTTCATGACAACATGACATGTCACAATTTATCTGTATAGCCTTTTCCAAAAACATCCCCAGATTCAAGTTTTTGGGAAATTTGTAGGTGGAACTATAATTATGCGTCGCAGTGTATTGTGCGTGTGTAAGCAGGGCACGTTGCCATTGCACCTTTCACGCCATAGAAAACAACAGGAACCTAATGGGAGAATAGAGAAAAGTCCAAATGTTGTGTCGATAAGCAGACATAGAAATTACTCTTCTGTAAAACGGTTTGTACAGCACAGATATATTGGAGCACAAACTTTATTGCCAGGCGCACCCTCGCACCTCCGCGGATAAACAGGACTTTACTCCACTTATGGGAAAGCTCTATGAGAAGGATAAGATATGGTACCATTCATTAGATCACTGATGATTCGCTTTATCGCTACTTCTTTCTTATCTTCATATCGACAACACGTTCTACCATGTGCTCCATATTTTTCTTCATTATTTGATTCTTCATCACAAAACTAAACAATTTTATTTTACAAACAACAAATAACTAAAGATTAATTCCAAGTAAAATTGCGGATATTCCGCGATATTCTGCTTTGTTTGCACAAGTATTTTTGAACCCGCCAAAAAATATGGTGCCTTGGTTTATGTGTTTCGTTTTCGCTTTCCTCTTTCGTTGTGATTTTCATTTCAACTATTAAAAAGCTATATTCACATTCGAGCTAGCGTGAAACCGCGATCAAAGGAGCAGATTTGGAAGCATAACGGTTTTGTTTTCAGCGATCGCCTGAGCATCCCATTTGACCCGATTCCTCATGAACTGTATTGGGAACCCGACGAGCGAGCTCCTGGTCTCAGCGAACTCACTTGTGCGGTAATTCCAGCCGGTAAGGCCAAAACCGCCACCTACGTGCTCTCCACCCATGAACCCACCTACATAGTTGTGAACAGGTGAGCCCATTCCCATGAGCACAACCTACAAGAGGTACGATCCATTGCTTCAGATTCTGTGACCGAACATTCGGTATGGGCATCTGGTACAGCGATGACGTTGCTGCTGTAGACTTCAGTTTGAACGAGATGACGGTTGGTGATGTATCTGAGGTTGGTGCGACCTTTTTGGGACGCAACGGTATATTCAGATTTTACTTTTTGATTTGGGTTCAGATTCGAATACCCTGGGATACCAATGTTGGATTATCGTACGAATTAAAAGCTTCGGGCTGGCGTTGACAAGGTGTAGAAAGTATGGGCAACGAGCAGGTACTTCGATGTTATTTAATTAGATTTAAAATACTTCTCAAGTAATTAATAACTTTACAGGCATGGGTGCGATCATTGACGGTCTACTACAGAATCAGATTTGAAAACGAGAAAGGCGAACTGGTCGATTTCAAGGAAATTTAGATGTCGGTCTATGAACTTTTCCGTTACTGCTATATTGATAGTCCGGGCCAGGCCTCAAGCTTTTCTCAGTGGATTGGCTGGAAATGGTGACATCCCCATCACGTGAAATGTCATCTGCTTTCCAGTAGCACTCGTTCTGTTATGGTGCTTCGTACGATTATTCGCGGGTATGGAGGGCGTCGATAAGATTGAATGCTTCTTATTTCTCGATTGAATTAATATGTGAATTTTTCTGCCAACATTTGTGATAGGTCAATTAAATGTCGCTGGGATTTATGTAGATTGCATTTGAGAGTGGTACAATGGGGTTATTGCGGTTTTTTAATCAGTATTATTTGATCGATTCGAATCGATCCTCGGGTGGTCGGTTGTATTTTTCGGTAGTAGATTTAACTTCTTTATTTAGATAGATACGTTCGTGTTGGCTGTTCTGATTCCGGTCCTTTCTCCTAGTGCAACTTAACTAGGCCAAATGCATCTTCAAATGTCACAACGATTCTCGATTCTTGCAAACGCATGGCACATCAAGAAGGAACTAATCAGGACGAATCCACTCATTCTTTCCAACTAGTGGACCAGAGAAAATACTTTATTAGCGATCACAGCGCAAAGGACCAGCTACCTCTCACAACTATATTTCAAGGAACTCAAGTTTTTGATAGGCTCCACATCACCTGAGGGTTCTTGCGTTTTAAGCCTCGTGATGGAGGGCAGTTGGGTTTTTTGTCGGCAGAGCGACCGTTTGTAGGGAGAGTTTTCGATGAGCAGAATCATCGGTATGGTTACCACATATTTTTAGATGTTTTGATCGGCCAAACAGAAAGTATTTACAAATTGCACTAATACGCACTCTCCACACTCAACTTCCCGCCTTACCATCAGTGTTCCTTGCTCGCTTTCTTCACTTTTATTGGAAATCTTATTTCCTGTGTTCGTCGGCATTTCCAAAACCGATCTCGATTGGGCTCATAGCTTTGTTTGTTTTGATATGTTTTCGATTTAAATGATGCTATGCTCCGATTACTCCGATTACCTCGATTTTGTCGAAAAAATGGCCATATTGATGTGTTTTGATCTGTGATCATTCAGGTACTGTCCGGCAGTTCACTCGGGTTTATTACGGAATAAGGAAGAAGCAGAAGCTGTGAAACGCCTTCGAAGCGAAGTAAGCTTTCAGCGTGAATAGCTTAGCATAGCTAGCATAGCATAGCTTGAGTAGCATAGCTTTAGCCTATTTCTTATGAAAGATCATTTCATCTAAGAGCGCCCCGGTCATATGTTCAAACGGATTAGCAGATTTTTCAGTGTAAAGTTTTAGAATAAGCTCAGAAGGGAAGGGAAAACCGCGAGAGCAGTTCCTCTGCCGAGCTTTTTCCATATGAGTCTAGCTGCTTAAAAGCATAAGATAAAGCATTTGCCGTTGATCAATCCCTTTTTGGGATGCGGCACGCATTCTACTTCCATTTGTACATTCGCAGTGGCATTTGAATGCGATGTGGCCTATACAATGACTTGCGGGGGCCAGCCGATGTTCAAGTCAGTGTTTTTATCCTCCCAGACAAGTCTGGTACCAATTAACCGACCCCGGAGGGATGGAGGCTTGGTGGACGAGATATCACGACGCTCATGGGTTGTAGTGGCAAGCGTGCATCTTGCACTACACACCCGGTGCCCAACAGCTACTTTGTAAAGCATACATTTCACAGTTATACTCGATATCGGTGAGTTGGGGTGGGCGTGTCACCGGAAGTGACGTGCACTTGATAGAAACTATGTGGATAAGCTGCTTCCAACATACATCGCTGGCTATCAGCAAAGCATGCTGGCAACAGCTTATCCACGCACTTCTATCAAGTGCACGTCACTCTGGTGATCACCACCCCAACTTTTCGGATCATCGCTTATATTGTCATAAAACACAAGAATAATACACTCATAAAAATTAGAAGGAACAATGTAGGAATTTAAAGCGTGATTAGTAGTCTTTAACTTGTGAAGGACTCCTAATCCAAAACTTGGCATCAGAGGAGGGCGCGTCCACGCGAATGGCCGCTCTTACGAAATAAGAAGTGGAGAGGGGAACAGGGATCAAAGGGCACACTCTCGCACTCATTTTAGAGTTCCAATGTAGATGCGAACAGTCTTACATCGGTGGGAGGCGACAGAGGTACTATGCTACTCACCGATCTCCAGAAGTCGACATAAGGGATTGGCATATTGGAAAACCACTATCAGTGGAAGTACACACCGTTAATCTGCCTGAGCTTCTAAGTTATTATCGGTGTTGGGGGGGCAGTTGATTGGTTGGCGTTTCTGCAATATTTTGATGTTATCGGTATAAGAAGTTATTCAACACTCTGACACCTCAATATCCAAAGAAGCATGACAGTGTTGTTTACGCTAAGTCCTGATAGTTAGCAGCTCGATTAAAAAGCTTACTCGGGCGCTGTACCACGTTGGCTTTCGGAAAATGGTGGATGTTTATGGGTATTGACGAGCCTCGGAAAATGACTGCCTTATCACTAGCATTACAGTAACCTTTCTCAAATAGCATCAATAAGATCCATCAAAAACATGCACGACGCCCAATACAATTTTCTGAAGTCTACTTTGCCGCACGATAGCGAGCGTAGCCAAACTGGTTTCTCTGAAGAGCGAGTAGAACACTTGAACATTTATTTATCTTCCCGTTCTTCTATGAGAAAATAAAATTTTGATATCGACTTCACTTCGTTCCACCCTAAACATCTTTCCATCCATTTCGTTTTCGCATCTGAATCTACTACATTCTATATAAATTCTGTAGCTTCGAGACTACGCCATGCACTGTAACTGGTTGTTATTTCACAATTTCATTGCGAAGGAATGACACAAGTTTTGTCCTTTTTCCGTATTTCCACTGATAGTGCTTCTGCAATACGTCAATTCTGTCGACTTCTGGAGATCGGTACATAGCATAGTGACCTCTGCGCCTAATTTATATTGCTTCGCCTCAGTTGGAGGCAAGCTTAACGAGGTGCGAAGAATGCGCCCTTCGTCCCTACTTTCCCTGATTGCCTTTTTAGTGGTTAGGTTTAAGTACTCCTTCAAACTAACTAGCTGATTTTGATACTTGCAGAATAGTGACCTTCTGAGTGAGAAATATAGCACCGATTTCAACCTACTGCGATGGGCTCAGGTATGCATTACACTTTTCTTCCTCCTTTTCCTATTTCCTCCACGTTTCTTTCCCTTCTCCTTTTACTCCCATTATCTTCTGACTATTCAATTTCCAGGGCTACGGTTTCGACATGGAAGAAGCGTCAGCTCAACTTCGACGTCATCTGAAATTTAGAAAGTTCTATGACCTCGACAATTATGACAAGATTCCCGAGCACGCAATTCTCAAACAATATTTCCCTATTGGATTAGTCGGTGAGTCGATCCTCCCTCCACGTTTCCCTTGATGTTTGTACGTAGATGGCACTTGTGGCCCCTCTTGAAAGAATCGGAGGAATTTCTATTGTAGGAAGAACGGGTCAGGACAACACTTTATTGGTGATAGAATGCGCTGGACGAATCGATTTGGTCGGAATACTGAAAGCAGTCCAGTTGTCCGATTTTCTTATACAACGATTTCGATTGCAAGAGAAAATGCTGTCCGCGCTAAATGAACTCGAAGCGGAAACTGGAAAACAGGTAACTTCGAGACGAACTGCACTTTTGGCTCAAATCTTCGTGGAAGAAATTCTTCTTTTAGGCTTCCGTCTATATTCTCGATTTGGACGGACTCAAGTTTGAAACCTCTCTCTTGAGTATTGTGACAGGTAAGGGTTGGCAACGTTGGCACTGTTACGAAGTTTTCGCTGAATAGTTGTGCTTCGGTGAAAAAAAAACAGATCGAGAGGGGGAACAGGAATCTTCCACCAGCCTCTTAGAGATCCTCTTCGAACATTTGAATCCGTCCTTAGAGTGGGCCTGCAGGTGCGGTAGCAAGTTCACTGCAGGGAAAATCAGTCTAAAAACGTTTCCTCGTCGAAATGTTTCCATCACGACCAAAACCGGTTTCAGAGGATATTTCAGATTCCGTGAGCTAGGGTTAGCTCGGCTAACTATACTAACGCTAGATCCACCAGAACCTCCATTTTTATTAGAAATATTCTTATAATTTTCCATCCTTACGAATATGGAAAACCTGTAGAGAGGTATCATTTGAAATGGGAAGGGCTCAAAGGTGCATTTCCCGAAGAAAAGGCAGTCCATTAACAATCAAAGTAAAGTGGCCAGTGCAGCAGGGATGAAGAAAAGCCCATGAGAAACGACTCAGCATCCGAGAAATAGGACCCTTCTCTGCACATTTCGGATGCTGCGCCAATTCTCATGTTGATTTCTGCATTTGTGCGACTCTCATCATTGCTGCTCTCTTCAACACTAACACTCTTTCTTCCTCTCTCTCTTTTCCTCTCTCTGCTGAACAGCTAGAGGTCAGCGGCGACGGGCCAACCATTGCTGGGTGGACAGCAGTGCAAGCTGTGCGAAAATGGCCCTGCTAGGCCGCTGTGGGCATATTTACCGCGAAACGTGTATGTACATATGTGTGTATGTAGCGTGTATATTTCCCCACGCCCAACCTGATCGCGAAGTTTTCTTTTTATTGAAGATCTCCTCGTCGTTGATACTTATCCTGCATTTACGAAACCATATCAAATTGAGGGAATGCTGACTTTTTTTCATTGTGTCAATTGCCACAAGATTTCTCGAAACTTTCCTTTTATTGCCCAAGTTTCAGTTTGCCTTTTTTCTCGTAGGAATGACGTAAACCTGACAAGGGGGTCTTTCGGACATGGAGCGTTTTTTTTTTCAAAGTGGTTTCCTGAACGTTGTATCCTGAACGCCCCAGAAATGTCGAAACAGCGGGAAGAAATGCTCCAAAGTTCGATCCAATTTGATGAAATTTTTTGCAATTTATTGGCGCCTGCGACATTGTGCAAACACCAACAATAGGCACTATGTTTCCAAGAATGCTGGGTGTGAAAAAACCTTTCGCCCAGCGCGGCCCACAGCGCCACCGCCGTTTTCCGGACAAGAAATTGGTGTCCCGGTTAGCGTATACTGGTAGCGCAATGTGATCTAACCATGAAAAGCTGGAGTTGGGATGAAATGGTGCCCCGGTGGCGTAACTGGTAAGCGCACTTTGCCCGGAAAGCGAGAGGTGCGGGTTCTAGTCCCGCCTGGGGCGAAAGTTTTGTTCACAACCCAGCATTCTTGTGAAACATTCGCAAGGCGAACTGCGGCAAAAACAGCAGTTAACAAACAAAACAAGTCAAAAATAAATAAATTCTTCACGAGCGCGGCCATTTGGCGGCAATCTGGGGCGCCAAACTATATTGCAAAAATTAGTCATCACCGGGATCGAACTCTGGACCATTTCTTCACCACTGTTTTGACATTCCTGGAGGCGTTCAAGAAAAATGGATCATGGTTCTGTGTTCCTCGCATGAGCCCTTACAATATGCAGAGAACCGATTTGGAAAGCGCTCCATGTCCCTGACAACCGCCTTTATAGGGTGTTCCCTATATCCTATTGCAAGAACCATTAAAGTCGTAGAGAACATTGCCGTTGCTGCCTACATCGAGTTGGCCTTTTCAGTCTGATCAACTGTCACGTTAATTTTTCACGAAGGCACGGCTCTCAATTTATCAACGTCGATACGGAGCCGTTGATGACACGTGTATGACAGGGTTAATGCCCAATTCCATGCGCACCTGCCAGTTAACTTCCAATAAGAGGAAGTTTCACTTTATACTCGTCTGGGCAAGTAACAAACAGAACATACAGCTTTATCAGTTCTGGTAGTGCTACCACAGTATTACTCATCATTCACCTCCTTACTTGGAAGCATTTGATAGATATACGAACAAAAAAAACGTTTCAGCAATTACAGTCCTATAGATCGCTTGGTTTTTGCTCAGCACTGCTTCAACCTCTCCCCCCCCCCCAGGGTCAACCCTACGTCGGGACAAGTACAACGGGGGGGGCGTAGTTTGTTGAGTTTGTGGCGGGGGTCGTACTTGCTTCGGTAGCGCGAAATTATAGTCAAATTGAGGGGGGAAAGCGCGCGGAGATAAAATTTCCATGTTCCAACCTTGCGTATAACCACCCTCTTCACCGCCATCCCTGGGCGCCCCATCGACGGTGTTTTTTTGACGGAAGAAGAGATGTTTAGAAGAAAGGGTAGTATGACTCTCATGAAGGAGGAGGGTCGTACATAGTTTTTAACAACGGTCCCAACACGGTATGACCCTGCCTCCCCCTATCAAACTGTAAAAGCGATCGTCCAGCAGTTAATCATACTGCGATACTAATGGGTGTGAAAATACAAGGGGGGGGCGGGGGCTAGCCCTAGACAACCTATAAACAGAATGGGCATTGGAGCAGAAACAAGTATTTGGAAAGCTGATGCGGTAGAAGGGACTTGAACGCTTTCGAAGTGGGCGTTATCGAACAATTTTCGGTGACGTCCACTTGCCAGTCGTGGAGATCACATAATTTTCGACGTGGTCCACTGTTCTTCTTTTCAAGAAATGCTGCCTGTTTTTTGTTTGGTTTTACTTGCTTGGATCGGTTAATTGTCGCGTTTATTTTTTTGTATTTGTACACACGAGACTGCAGCCGCATTTCTTGCCGGTACGAGAAAGCAGTAAGTGCCGTCGGAGCAAGCTAGTCTGAACATCTCGTCCGACACAGCTCCTTCCCCCATTTCGTTTCCAAAAGATGGAGGAGAGTGGGGACTCCCTGTTTGGAGCGCTTTCATCGCGTTTGTCTTCGCTTTTTTCATTACCAGTCAACTACTGCTATCCTCAACTTTCTCATAGACATTTTTTACCCGCGAATTCGATCAGGAATTGTTGCTTTGAGTCTGAGTCTGAGTGACAGTATAAAGGCTTTCTAACAAATCTTTTATGCTAGCGAGTGTGGCCCTTCTAAGCAGCCCTTCTCCCATCCTCGCATTGCTGCCTTACCTTCTTACAGTACGACTTTTCAAATAAAGCTATCAATGTGTGCAGTAACTGCGTTCCTATCGACAACTAAGCATATATAGGAAATAAGGTGATCACACACGGGCTTCGACCTGGGATTTGATCCATGGACCATACCGGCCCCTCTGTCGTCTGAACAGGAAAATTTGATTTGTGTAGAATTTGATTACGCATTTACATATTTAACATGTTATGCAAAATCACGAACAGAATACTAACAATGCGCAAAAGTTTAATGGCAAGGAGGGTATTGATCTGATGATCCCACTGAAATATGAAGGTAGGAACGCGAAGTGACTGCAAGTGAAGAGAAAAGGAAAGAAAACCGTAAAAAAACACAGGAAAACGAGTCTTCCTTCTCTACACTGGGGAGAAGTTCGAGAGGCAGACAGACAGAGGAGAGATAATGTGAGCCGCAGTGAGGAAAAAGAAGTCAGAATGGAGAGGAAGCACCATCAGCGACGCAGCAAGATACCCTAACGGATGGCGGACTATTCTCCATGTGGGATTTTGCATCATCATCCAGGACGCGTTCTGATGTGCGAAGGGTGGCGCTACTCTGCAGTGGCGGGACCAGACCAAAACATCTCGTATTTACGGGCGGCGATACTTCAGTGAGGCTGAGCTAGACCTTGTGTTCAAGAAATTACTTTTTTTGGGAACGGCATACACAGACCAGTAGCCTGAGCTAAGACGAATAAATTGTCCCGTGGAACTCGTTCAAGACTGTGATGGATTGCTGTCAAAATAAGGTTAATATAGCTTTGGATAATGCCATTTCTCGTCTCCACGGCTATCAAGAGGATCCGGACGGAGCGCATCGCCTAAAGAGCTTTGATAAAATTGTCAGTCAATCCCTTTTGACAGCTGATTGGCACACTCATGTAGTCACCAAAAAGTAGTAACGAGGACGCGAAGACCATACCTACCTGTTCTGTATGCCATCTCGTGCTCCGGCCATGTCTGTCGCTGCACTTGAATGCCTGTCTTCGTGGAAATCTGCTGCAAGGCATAGTGTAAATGCATTCTACCTAAAAGGCAAGCCGTGAAATAAACACGTTGAGGAATTCCAACCTAGACCATAGGACTCTGTACTGTGCGAAGTGGAAGGAAGGGAAGACGCACAGAACGCTCGCGCGTGATATACACGAGGTATAATGCCCACGAACGCAACCACCCAAGGAAGGAGGGCGTTTCCTGATCAGGCGGAAATGCTTGAACAAGACACTGTTGAAGGAATCCCTACGACCGATACTCACCTTTAACCTGTTAGCGGTCTTTTCATAATTCTGCCTTTCTCGTGAACCGCGAGACTAGGGAGCGCGCACCGCATTTAGCTCAGAATCACTCTAGGCTCGGTGACTTCCCATCCTTTGGAGTCACGTATAAAGGCTCTGTACTGACATCAACTGGCCTCCACAAACTCACGTATAGGTCGATTATTCATTCAATGTTTCTACAATCTGAACCATATAAAAAAGCATGGCACACTTAAAAGAGTGATCAATCAACTCGATGCCTTTACCGTTTACCCTCAAATAATCCGACATCTAGCACCATGACAAAGTTTTACATGACTTCGTCAAATTTCACCATCTATTTTTGAATATGTGCAATAGAGAAACAAATCAAATAAGGGCACTATCGCATCATACGGGGGCATTCTCTAAGACTAAAGCCTAAGAGAGAGCGGGAACGTCCGAGAAAATGGAAATTCTGATGCACCCTGGAGTTTCTGCTCCCTTGCGTAACCATATAAGCTTAGTCCCGTTTGCAACAAAAGGATGTTTCCCGTGGTTGCAAGTGAACTGCCACCACAACTGCGATAGCGCCTAAATAAGTTGTAAATGATGAAATTCAGGTCCATATCGTATCCTATGGGCGTCTGTCTACACCAACTATCCAGAATGGATCAAAACGTGTTATATCGTCAATGCCCCACCATTTATGGGTCTAATCTGGAAGGTGAGGATACTTTTCTTTTGCTTTTAGCACAGATATCGAATCGTAACGGCATGTGTTTAAGCTCTCGCGCGCGGATGCGGTGAAGAGTGCTGGTTATGCTGGAATACGAGAACAATGACTGATCAGAAAATGCTCTATTAAGCGCCCAACAGATAGTAATTATAAACACGTTTTCGGCTTCTTCGCCATCGTCAGAGCCTGTAAAAGTCACAAAAGGCAAATTACACTTGTTTTCGACCTTTTTAGGCTCAGATAAAGGCGAAGAATCCGACACATTAGTCTTTTAGTAGCTACCTTTGCTTTACAAACAATCAAACATTCTCCGATCACACTATGCCAAGAAAAAAGCAAGTCGTCCTGAAGAAATGAATGACAATGTGCTGTGATGTACTGAAGTTCATCTGAAAGGCAACTGAAGTATCTAGAAGAAAAAACTAGCACCCAGTTTGTCGGTCCGTTAAAGGAGCCATCGGAAGCATATGCACCACACGAAGCAGTTACTTGGCTGCCAAGGAAGCGAGGTGTGGCGCTTTCACGACGAAAGGTGCGCTGGTTGCTGAGCAGGACTTCGAAAGCACTCCGCCCCAAAAGCGATCCGCCCAGTTGGTGATTTGGACGAGCTGCGTTGCCAGCAGCGGCACAACTGGAGCAACTCGATTAAAGCGTGGTTTGGCATGGTGCCACCAAACGCGTTGCGGTGAACTCGTTCATACGTCCGCTTTCTGAGCTGTTACCTGTTCATGAGTGAAAACCAACGGCCAAAAAAGGGGTCCCGTTTTGCGTTTTCTTGACGGATTTCTCGCTTTTTTCGCACTGGCGTACCATTGAGCACCACCACGTCTCCTTAAAACCAATCGTAATTGCTGCCTTCAATGAGCATTCAAAGAGTGCCGTTTTCAGGCATTGGGTCCGTTGCTGCCAGAAAGAACTCGAAATAAAGTGCAACTTTGGACGGCAACAGTGATTGGAAGAATCAAATTCAAAAGGTAACTATAACTGTTTCGTGAAGCAATTCGCTCGCCAAAGCCTAACAATTCATATTGCCAGGTCGCAAAGCCAGAGAACATTCCGGCTTATTGGGGAGGCAAGATGTACGACGCGAATGGAGATGGAATGTGTCGGTAAGTGCGGTCTCAAAAAGTCGTTCCCACGGAACGCACAAAAAAATTCAACTTCTTGTCAGACTACTTCGCTTCCTTTATTTGACATTTATGAGCAATCTCTTCAATCAATCAAAATAAGCACCTGTTTCCAAAAACCTGATCGTGTCGAGTGCAGACCACACACCACAAGTGACGACGGCCTCCAAGTAAATCTGGTACTAGTGATTCATAGTGATAGCTGATAGTTGTAATTAGTGACAACTGATAGAATACAACTGCAAGGCTAATCATTTCATTGGCAGAAAACATTTACATTTTGTGGAGGCCGTCGTCACTTGTGGTGTGTGGTCTGCACTCGACGCGTATCTGGTTTTCTGAAGCAGAAAATACATACATAGGTCACTTCTCTCCCTCGACCGCTTAATAGATGCGCCTCAAAAATCAAACTTTCTTGAAAAAATAAACGAGGCTGAAGGTCATAGAGAAATCTCTGAAGTGTACGGTG